TTTTTTTCTAATATTTTCTTTAATATTATTTATGAAGCTCTATAATATGCAAATAATGACTAATAGAAAACTAACTTTTTATTAAGTTTTGAAAATACTATGGCTTGTTCATTAAATTTTGATGATGTCATAGACACTTTTGCAGAACAGAAAGCACGAAGAAAAGATTTTAATTAATAAATACCTTATTAAAATTAAATTGTTGTTTTTATTTCATTCCAAATTTATGCATATTTTAAATGAGTTTCTTCACCAAAAAAGGCCAGCGAGTATATGACGAATATGAAGTTTTCAAAAAGTATTAAAAAGGATTTGATTGTTGAAAAAACACGTGAAAAATTGATTGTTAATGTTAGGTTATGTAATAATTATTTTTAACCCCAAAGTACTATGTTCTTTCTCTGTTGAATTCAGTCATAAAAAAATCCTTTCTATAGTTCATGTATTACAATGTTTAAACACAAAAATTTTATGTTTGATTTTCAAAACAAAGTAGTAATTGTACTTTTAAATTATTAATTTTGACTTATAATTATTTTTATTTTTATGTTTTCTTGTACTTATACATTTTAATTTTTTTTTTAATTTTTGTATACATACATTTTAAATAATTTCTTAATTTAAAACCATAAAATATGAATAAGTCGAAGTAGATTTACTCATTTTTAATACAATTCATTACAAATCGTGGATATATATATATAATATATATTAAAGTAGTTAATTTTGATGTTGAGAAATATGAGTAAGTTCTTCAAGGGCATACATCAAATAAAATGCAAAGATTTAGAAGTTAATCTTTAATTTTTCCAAACGTTTCGACATAGTATTTTATGTCATCATCAGTGGATCTACAGAATGAATATTGAAAAATTAATAGGAATCTAGAAAAAAGACAGAAATTGGAAAAAGAACTATAGAAAAGAAATAATATATAACATACAAAAGCGTAATATATATACATAAATAAACACACAAACATGTATATATGATATGCATGTAAAAACACGTACACATATGCACATATACATACGAATAATACGTATATATAAACATATACATACGGACATGTACATATGTATATATACATATATACATACATACACATAACATACATATATATATCTACTACACACAAATATACATACATATATATATATATATACATATATATACATATACATACATATGCAATACAGACACATACACATATATAGACAATGAAGGTAACTTACATAAATATGGTCTTACATCAGTAGCTAGCGCAAGGAACACATTTTGCACTATCATATATACATTAACTTGTTTTTTTTTATATTAATTTGTTGAACAGAGTATAGCAAAATATTTGTGAAATATATAATATATTTTGCACAGAGAACGTAGTTTATGTGACAGAGCCCGAGGCTGTAGTAACATGTGTTTAAAAATTATTTGAAGAGACCGTTTGAGGGAATAGTTGGCGGGTTTTTTACAATCAGTGTTTCTAAGTATGGGTGAGAGGCTAAAAATCAAAGTTCGGGATCGGACCGCGTAAGGGTAGGTTTACAGGTTCGGAATTACGTAGGTTAAGAGGAAACAATTTGGAAATATTATTAAGTAT